CACTTTACCTACCACACCTGGGCCAAGCAACGCTGGCGCGGTCGGAAGCTGATCGACATTTTTGAGGATGAATTCAGGGACCGCACCCTAGAGTACTACCGGTATGCCATGGAAACCGGAGCCATCGTTGTCAACGGAAAGGCAGTCGGCCCGGATCATCTGGTCAAGAATGGAGACCTTGTGAATCACACAATTCATCGCCATGAGCCCCCTGTCACAGGCGAGCCGATTCGTGTCATTCATGAAGATGACGAGATGATCGTTGTCAATAAGCCATCCGGCGTACCGGTACACCCTGCTGGTAGATACAAGTACAACACACTTATCGAGATCATGAAGTCTGAGCGAGGCGAGCATTTCCTGCCCTACCCGTGCCATCGCCTGGACCGCCTCACCAGTGGAATTCTTTTCGTCGCCAAGACACCACAGGCAGCAGTGAAGCTCACTGCTCAAATTAGAGCTCATACGGTCCGCAAAGAATATTTGGCGCGCGTTGCTGGAAAGTTTCCTGATGGCGAAATTGTCTGCGATCAGCCTATCCTCCAAATATCCCCGCGACTAGGCCTCAACCGCGTGCGAGCCAACGGAAAGTCGGCCCGTACCGTCTTCAAACGTCTGGCCTACTACCCGCCGGACACTCTGAATGACTCGGAGGCAGCTGAGCCAAAGAGTGCGGAACGACTTGCGGACGAGGAACGCCGGCCTTGGATCAAGAAAGAGGGCTACTCAATCGTTCGCTGCCTGCCCTTGACTGGCAGAACACATCAGATCCGCGTGCATCTGCAATTTGTTGGGCATCCCATTGAGAACGACCCCTTGTATGCCAACCAAAGAGTTTGGGGAATTAACTTGGGATGCAACGACTCGGATGCAGTCGAGAATACGGACGAAGACATCATGTCACGCCTAGAAAGGATGGGCAAACAAGATATCGCCGACGCCGTGGCCTATCACGACGAACTGGTGGACCTGTACCAGAAGAGAAGGGCTGAAAAGCTGTCAGGAGAGCTTTGCGACGTTTGCGATACGCCGCTCTACACAGACCCCGGCGAGCACGAGCTTTCGCTCTGGCTTCACAGCCTCCGTTACGAAGATGCCGGAGGGGCTTGGAGCTACACCAGTCCGATGCCCGCGTGGGCCCTTCCTCCGGACGGCATTAACGGACCAACGGAGGTCGGAGGACTCGAAGAGCTGGTGGGGGCAGTACCAGACGCAGACCCAGCGGCAGAGGCAGACCCTGAAAGTGTCGCCTGAGAATATGTACGGCGAGAACAAACATAACAGCATTTACCACGGTCCCGGACGGGCCGATTGATTGACTCCACTGATCGAGTTCTCTGTTGGATTTGGGACGATTCGATACCCCGGGTCGAGGCATTTACGACCAGTTTTTTCTTTCTTTCGCAACAACAGATACAGCTACGAATAGAGAGCTCTGCTTGAGCATACGTGCACTCCTACTGCATTGTACAGGAACATCGCCAAACATGGCTCAATATCAATTTTCTTTCGTCAGAGACATACAAGGTTCTAGATGCGCGATGATGTACATGATGTCCATTGCTGGTAGTTGTACGGAAATTCTGTACGGAAATTCTGTACGGAAATTCCGTACGCGACGGAATGACCGCTGACAGTCCCAGTCTGAAGGATTCGCACTTGTCCAGGGTCTCTGGAGTCTCACTGTCTCTCCCGCAGCCGACACCACACTCAGACCATAAGCCCGGAAATGCCAAGTCACTGGCCCTGGCACTTGTACTGTGGTGCACTACGGAGCGAGATCCGCAAAGCACCGGTTGAGCCAGTGATTGGTTGATTCGGAAGAAAAAAGCGGTCGTCATTAGGCTGCTAGCGCGTGTATCGCCTGGATTTGGGTCAAGGAGGCGCTGGAGTACTGGACCTGGTCGAGGTACCTCAGCAGTTCCGGTACCTCGTTCTCAGAATCCGGAGAGATTTCCGCCGTTTCCCACCGCCTGACCGCTCTCCCCCTCCCCTTCCCCCCTCCTTCTCACTCTCACTCCTCCCCCCATTGCTCTCAGCTGGCCCGCCCTGCCCTAACACCCCGACACCCTAACCAGCTGGAGCTTCGAGGCTTTCGAGGATGAGGGAAGGGTGCCCGGCGCATGCCAGGCACAGCGCCGGGTCTTACAAGCAGGGTCTGCTGCAGGCCCTGTTTTTTCTTCTTTTGGGGATTCCGGCCTCATTGGTCTAACAGGTATCCTCCCGAAGGAACTCACAGAGGAAACGAAACATACAACGGCTGGCTTTCTGAGTCAGAATTGACATAACAGAGGTCCGAACTGGATATTGCGCCGACGAGACGGCATTCATCAGGGGTTCATCACCCCCGGGCCGGCATTGCTAAGCCCACCCCGAAATAACTCATAAAATCGCTGATTCCGGATACCCTCTTTGCTTTGTTGACGTTCTCGACGCCTTTCGCCGTGTCCGAACCCCCTCATCAACCAACAACCGAACGCCTATGACATAACTCGCAAGCAACCACATCTCATGAACAAAAATGCGAACAGCTTCGGGAGGCCGGCACGAGACGCCTTGTACGACCAAACTGCTGGAATTCACGACGCCGGACGATCAGGCTGGGGAAGAATGAGAAGCAAATGTGGCAGGGCCACCTCAGGGAGAAGAAGGAACAACGAGGGAGGGCCGCCAGAGCCAGACGGGTCTTTTGCCCCGCGATTGGGGGAACACAAGAACTAATTGACAGCTGGAAACATCTACAAAGTACTCATCACTGAACCCAGTTGGCAGGTAGAGTGAGACTTTTTGGGCGCGGGGAGATGAGAACCAACAGATCAACCTCAGACACATCAGCAGACTTCCCATTCTCGAAAAGGGGAAGGAGCCCCCCCCCCCCCCCGAAACGCCACAATCCCGCCAGCCTGGAAACCCTGTGAATCGCAATCCAGCTCGGCGACAGCCCATGCTTCGTTTTCCCTTCTCGCCTCTTCGACGATGCGCCAGACTCATCGCGATGGTGGTGTCCTCGGACATGACCCTGGAACGACGAGAGGCTAGAAGAAAAATGCGACCGCCCGATGCAATGCAGAACCCAGACAGAAGAGTTCCATGGACCTTCGAGAAGCCCGCCACGCATGTCAGAGAGAATGCCGGCGCATTGCCCTTCAGTACCTGTGCGCATCTCAAGTTCTCACACCGCAACCCGAGAGTTCTCCTACACACCGAAGCAGGAGGAGGCGCACCACAGAATAAGAAAAGACCAGGGAAAAAAAGCAAAGAAGAAACAATGGACGAGAAGCAACATAGACACGCATACACACACACCTACGCAAAGTTGCAGACACCTGCGAAATCCGGTACAGGACGCGTTGACAGCGGCGATCTCGGGTTCGCTGGGCAGGCAGCCAAGGACAGGCATTCGGCCGATTGTGCATACCGTACCTATCTGGCGGAGGTCAACACGCCGCACCGCGAGAGCGAATGTTTCTGCGAATAAGACGCTGACCGCGCTGAATCAAAGTTGGCTCGGTCAGAAGGGCGTGCCGCGAAGCTGAAAAAGTGAGACAGGATGCCGACATAAGACTCGGCAACAAGGGAGAAGACAAACACCCCCAAATTTTTGGCCTTGTACGGTCGGTCGGCCGGCCGTGGTGCTGTTGCTGGGCTCACATCTACTAACGTTCAATGGCAAGAGACTGCGACTTGTAGACAAATTGTGACCAGGGGTGCCGTATGCGCCAACCTTCATGAGCCTGCATTCCGAAAGGCGGAATATAGCAATCGGGGAAAAAGATTGACAACGGCAGTTCAGTAGCGGCATCCTGTGGGATTGGGCGACCGGAACCAGGTCCGATGATTGGAACGACCATGATGGACGCCGCCATTCAGTCGCAACATGGAGGTGTATGTACCCGCGTGTGTGCGTGTGTGTGTGCGCGCGCCGTCGCCGCTCTCTTGCTCATGCCCAATTCCATCTCTCCAAGCCAGCCAATTCGAAAGCGGTGAAAAGACAAGAATATCTCAATTTCGCGTGGCCTACCCACGACGGAATCCGAGGAAGCCGTTCGATAGTGGGCATGTGTCCAACGGAACCGATCGGGGCTCAAATGGGAGGCCCTGGGGACCTTTGGGCGACGAGGCTGGAGAGCCGTCGTGAAATCTAGGCCAGGTACAGTTTGGATCCGATCTTCGGACGTGCTAGCTGCAAAGACCGTCTTGGCCGTTGGATGAAATGTCATCGCGGCGTGGCTCACCGAAAGCTAGAAATGTCGCCAGACAAGACGGACGACGAATGTGAAGCGGGTGAGCCGATAAGTTCCTGACAATGGATCCGGCACTGATGGCACAGGGCGGTTGGTATTCAATGTTTCTGGTCGGCGAGCTAGAATGTCTCTGTCTCTCTTGCTCGTTAGGCCCGAACACGCCATTCGAAACCGCCGCCGCCGCCGTCAGGTCGCAATTCTCGTCTTAGGTATGGATTCTAATGGCTATGCAATGGAGGTGCTAGAAGGCCTCAGAAGATAGACCCAAGGCTCCCTCTTTTTTTGGGTTTTTCCTCTCCAAAGGGGCGACGCAATGCACTAGCGATCGATACGCCAGTGGCTCCAACCTCTCTACTGTGTAGGTAGTGTGTACTGCGTACGTCTGGACGGACGGAGGATGTTGTGCCAGTGGAGGTGAACTAGGTGAGATTAGGTAGGGTTTCCGCACCGGAATACTCCATTTGGCAAACGGTTTCTGCTACAGTTACTAGGTAGGAGACCCCTCGAGGTTCTATGACACCACTTTGTATCGCGCCCTTTGAGTGAGAAGGGCCGACGGCGGCGGGCATTTGTGTTTTTTCTTTACTCTGGAGCCTCTTGTCCACATGGTGCCAAATCTTGCGAACTGCCCAAATTGGCTATTGCTGCTCGTCGCTTCGAATGCGAAAATATAGAGATGGCTAGTTACTCCGTAGAGTTTCTCGGTTCTTTTCGCAAGGTAAGTGCGGTCTGCCTATCGGTACGGATACGCCAATCTTACTGCCCGCACACCACGCAGCTCTTCCCCCCATCCCCCCCAAAGTCGGCCGACGACACAAGCCATGGCCTATGGCCCCATGGCAGGCCGCAAGACGACCCTCTCTTAAAAGAGACAAGCGTGTTACGGTTGGATGTAGTGGAGGGGACAAGGTACCGGTCGGGCTGGCCGCCGCCGGAGCAGCGAAGTGGGAGCAGGTTTCCGTGCAACTTGCATGGTGCTTGGCCCAGGCATTGTAAGGTAGGTAGAGATGGTTCATGGTAGCCGGGTACGTACCGACGACGAAGTTTCCCCAGTACCATGTTTTGGAGCACGAGATGAAAGCAGCAGCAGCAGCAGCAGCCTGCTGGTCGCAGTCTCTCACAGAGTGCCAGAAACAGAGCAAGAGGAAGAGGAAGAGAGAGAAAGAGGGGCCTCAAGTTCGAGGGTGAGGTGCTGTTCAGCGCTGTTCAGTGCTCTTGCTCTCCCCGGTCGATAATGGTGTACCTTAGGACTTAGGTATCCAGTAACAGACCACTTTTCTACGCTGTCTCTCCCTCGATGCTGACCTTCTAACTGGGCTGTTGCGGTCGCTGCTGGGCCGCGTATCGGCGCCCACCAAGCTACGACAGATCTGGCTTTAGCGTAAAGTTTATTTCTCGCGTAGTGGATACGTACCACCCCTTTCACCTATCGTCAGGTATCTCTCCACCTTTTCCCACAGTTTACCTCTGGGCCCCGACTGACCTCACCGGCGGCGGGCCCCTGATCCTCACACACTCACCTCACACTTCACCTTTCGTTCCTCACTCACTTCCCGGTTAACTCATAATGGAACTTGACATGCCTCTCCTCATCTATTGCGCGCGCGCGTGTTTGTGTGTGTGTCTGTATGAGCGAGAGTGAGTGTAGTAGGTAGCATACGAATGTTCGACCGGTGTGTGTGTGTGCCCACAATCAATTCGATACCCAGAGAGAGCGAGTCCATCCTCCTCCATTCCCTTCTCGGATACACACACTTCTTCGTACCTACTTCATCGACCACTCACACCCTCACATCACATATGGGCAGTGTATGCGATTGTGTTTTGCTAAACCATCCCTGAGCGCGCACTTCCCGCCCACGGCCGCTCCTCTGCGCTCTGCTGCCCATTGGTGCTTTCCGGGTCCGAGAGATACAGAAGTACTCTCGCTCTCTCTGTCTCTCTCTTTCCCTGTACGGATCGGATACGCCTTGGCCCTTGAGTGCTTCCTAGCATTCGTATGTAGGTGATAACCCTTACGGAGAAGTCCAAGATGACAAGGCCTGTCGGCGCGGCAAGAGAGGATAAAAAAACATCATTTCGTCATTGTATCGCAAACCCCCCGGTCATCGGAGGCTGGCCGAAGGTTTCCATGGGCTGCTGGGCATGCGTTAGCAAATGCAGCGGTGCAGCAGTGCTGAGCCTCGAGCAGAATTGAGGCTTATGCCGTGTGGCCCTACTGGCCTCAGCCTGGCCTGGCACTGGCACCGGCACTGATATTGGCACTGGCACGCCTGGCTGGCTCTTCGTCTTCTTCAACCTAAGCCTTTCGTAGAATGGGACGACATTGCGCGCGGATGGTGGTGTTCGGGCTGGGATTGAGGTCAACCACAGGTCAAACCAAACACGCATCATGATCACCCCAAACTCCAGCCTCTGAGGATCTGGACATGTCTTTTTCCGCCCCTCAATTCTACGAATGCACACGGAGTACACAATACGGATTTGAACGAGATAGGTATTGGAGATTAACTCACCTTTCTTGGTCTGGGCGTTCCATGGGCTGGCCACACACAGGCCATGCCGCCATGGACATGCCATGGGTGTGGCTATTCCGAGCATCAGCCGGACGGGACTGTTGCTTTTCAGAGTTCCTCGTTCGTCCTCGTAGATGCTGGTATTCAACAGGACTCGTCACCCGCTTTGCAAGGCCCCCCCGTTCCGAGCCGTCAGGTCAACGCAATATGTAAGCCCAGACGGGATTATCTCGTCTTTCTTCAGCGAGCCCACCTCCTCATACGCATTTATGGATAAGGCGGACAGGACAGGGCCATGGCCCATGGGAGGGTATAGCAGCGTTTATGGGCCATGGCAGGGCAAGGCAATCCGCAAGACCATACAAGGTCAAGTGCGGGAGGAGGAGTCGGAGTTTGATTTGGTTGTCAACTTCAACGGATCCGACAAGGCACCTGGGTACCTTTTCCTTTCCCGTAACCCTGGCTTTGCCTTGCCTTGCTTTGCCCATTCCTTGCCGGCTTTGCCCTTCGTCACCTCACCCAGCCCAGCAGCTAACCTTTTCCCAACTCTATGCTTGCCTTACTTACCTTTGACCCCGTTTACGTTTCCCTACCTGCGGTACGGATAAGCAACCCCACCGGGAACCCGTTCGCTGAGATCGAGAGTCGGACTCGAGCCAGCAAGAGCCACAATCACGGGGCAGGAGGTTGCCCACCCACATCGACTGCTACTGCTTGAGGATCTCCCCCTGCAGATACAGTATCTGTGAGAGAGAGCACTTCCTTCCCGTTACCCTGCCCCAACTCTCGCTCGCTCTCACACCTACTCTCTCTCTCTCTCTCTCCAGTCTCCAGACAGACACAACGAGGACCAGAGGAAAGACAAACCCAAAACCTAACCGAACGAATGTTCTTTGGTTTGGGGGAAGAATGCTGCCCAGCCTGGATACCGGCACAGCGGCGGAATCTGGCTCGCAGCAATTCCTCGCTCGATTTCCGCGGCGACTAGTTACACCTTCAAAGTAACTTGAAGAAGCTTGTTGCCTCCGCGTCAAAACACGTAGTTTCCCACTATGAGGCACACGCAGCAAAAAAAAAAAAAAAAAAAAAAAAAAAAAAAAAAAAAAAAAAAAAAAAAAAAAAAAAAAAAAAAAAAAAAAAAAAAAAAAAAAAAAAAAAAAAAAAAGGCACCCGTATCCCAGGCATGCGAATGTGGTGGCCCATCCATCACATTACCTAAGGTAAAGAGGCATCTCACAGTTCTCACTTCTGTTGTTCTCCTAGATTCACCTCACACAAGGTTGTCCCTCACGCCTCCCCTGGTTTCATCTCACGCCCCCTGTGACCATCACGCACCCCCTCTTCTCCCACACCCCCTCCTTCTTCACACCCCTGCCCCGTCGAGGCCGATGGGTAACTGGCAGTCGGAAGGTACATGTCTACATCGCTGCAGTCGAGTGAATCTGTGTAACTTCCACCCCCCCGGTCCCGTCCTGCTCGCTGCCTTGCCTCACCCGCTTCTCTCGTCCTCTTCTTCGCCTTCTCCCATGTTCCCTGCCGCTGTCTTGTCCCTCTCCTCTGATCAGACCCCTGCCACTCCCCTCTATCCCCCAGCCCATCCTTGGGAGATCTGTAAGTTGTTCTCAAGTGAGTTAGTAATTTGCGCCATGTCTGTGCCCAACATCGACTGTCATGTGCCAAGTTACGTCTCTTCACCGATACTCTCAACCCTTCCTCTGTCTTCGAAGCACTCAGGGCCCGTTGTACCTACGGCTCCTTGGATACTTTCTACGCGGCGTGATCTCTCTGCTCTGCCATCCTTTCCATTCTCACCCTACACCTACGAATACACTCCCCTACCTACCACCTCACTTACGGTACAGTCCCACGTCCTTGCCCTCGAGACTGGGCTGCTTTAGCCCGGATGCTTGCATCTCCATCGAACCCCTGCTCCAGACTTCCCTACCTTATGTGCTGCTACTTCTAGTGCCCTTCATGGACCTAGGAGGTAGCGGTACGGTACAGTACGTACCTTTTCCTCTTCTTGCTTGTCTTGTCTCTCTTCATCCTCAACCTTTACCAAAAGTCACTGGCCCTGTCTCCTTCTCTACCCCCTAGATCCATGCTCATCTAGTACGTACCTTCGTACTGAGGTACTCGTCTCTCCTAGCTGCCCTGAAACTACTTTGCCGCCGGCATTCGAAGGGCCTGTTCTTGTGTCTGCTCCTGTCGTCAATAGATCTTATAACTCCAAGATGCGCTCCTCTCGATCTTCTTGATTTGATCCCTGCCTTGACAACTCGAACAACAAACAACTTCACCTCGTCGCCAGACCCGTCTCTCTCTTCCTACATTCAGTCTTCTGCCTTAGAGCATGGCCCATACTGCCGTTGCCAACACTCGATCCAGACCTGTTACCATTACCGTTGTTGCACACCACGACGAGAAGTACGCCGCCGACAACATGACACGATCAGCTTCTGCAGAGCCTACGAAGCCCACCAAGCGCAAGGGTACGCATCACCAGCACTCCTCATGAGATGTCGACGACGGCGGCGGCGGCGGCGGTTATGCGGTTCTGCCCTTCTGCCGTCTTCGCCTCGATCATCCCCCACCTCCCTCCTTAGCTCCTACTCTACCACCTTCGTCCCCTTCCACGTTCTCATGTACGGATAATATATTGACTTGGACGCCTTCCTCAACAGGCACCAGAAGCGTCTCAACCCTGACGCCCTCCCAGCTTGCGCGTAAGCGTGCCAATGACAGAGAAGCACAGCGCGCCATCAGAGCTAGAACGAAAGAGCACATTGAGCGTCTTGAGCGCGAGCTTGAGGAGCTCAAGAGCGAGCGCGGCCGCGATCAGAGCCAGACCGTCCAGGAGCTTTTGCGCAAGAACAAGGCACTTGAAGAGGAATTGTTCAAGCTCAGAGAGAGCATGGGCGTTCCCAACGGGCAGTCCTACCCAAACTCAGGTACGGCTGCTTCCATTGCCTCGTCTTCTGCCTGGCTGCCTCTGGTTCGTGCTGACTCGGCTCCAGTGTACGACGACAATCTGAGCTCTATTAGCGGCGCAGTCCCCAGTCCTCGATCCTCGCCATTTCCATCAAACGGTGACTACAACGTCATGCAAGAACTCGGTCCCTCTTACGTGCCCATGCCGGATGCGTCAGAGTCATGGGGCCCAGGCATTCCCGTCTCCGTTCCTTCGACCGTTTCAAGCCCGTCATCATCCGCCAACACCGATGAGTACGGCGCAGGCTACATCCCCACGAGCGTCCCCGCGCCGATGATGGATGCCCGAAGCATTCCGGCAAAGATGAGTGAATATGATGATGTCGACTCTGGTAAGTTGTCTTCCCTATGTCCGGTGGTTGGGTTGCAACGCAATTCTGAGACGCTAACCACTCAGCTTCTAGACGCTGGATACCCTCACAGTCACCACTCAATGCCTCATCAGTCGCAGGTTCCCATCTCTCATCATCATCAGCCGTATCTTCATCACCAGCAGTCGTGGAATTCGTATCCAACTCCGGTGTACTACCAACAACCGTCAGCTCATTGATTCGCCAGCCTGGCACCACCCTTTGGGAGATTCCGACCCTCATCGTCCCGCCGACTTGTCGAATCGACCAGTTGATTGTCGGCTTCATACAGGACTGCCGCCGACTGTCACAACTGAAGTCTCTCGACAACCTCCTCCGACCTGCTAGGGTCAATGTGAAGAATTTCCTCGAGTATCATCCGGCTTCGCCTACAACAGAACCTCCACGATGCCAGCTAGCCGACCTTGATCGAGCTGCTTCCACAACAGTCACGGGTCCCGGCGTCAAGCACCCCATGGCTGAGCTCATCACCGCTCTCGTCAACAAGGCAGGTGTCACCAACGTCATTGAACGCTTAGCGGTCTTCGCCGTCATCCAACGAGCCATCGCCTGGCTGGTGCACCCAACGCGTGAGGCCTACCAGGCCATTGTGCCTGAACTCACACCGAAACCGTGCCAGACTAGAATCCCGCATCCTCAGTGGGTTGATCTCATCCTTTGGGCACCTCTGCGCACTGCCATTATCGAACGCCAGGAGTTGTACGCGAACGAAGAATTTCAAGGCGTATACTCGTCTAGCTTGAGACTGATCAATTGGCCATGCCGGCCAATTGACGCCTTGGTGGTCGACCCGCAATCTGGAGAGATGTGGCTTAGCGACACGTTTACTACACACGCAATGCGCCTCGAAAACTGGCGCCTCAATGAGAACTTTGTTCGCCGTTACCCCGAACTTCGTGGCTGTGTTGCAGTCGAAGGTTCCTGAGACGGATACGATACTTGGCGCCAAATTCTTCACCTATTTACTTGTCCATACTTCACAACTCGGAGCTATTAGTCTCCAATTTTCTTTCACGTCCTCCTTCCTCCTTTGTTACGAGAATGGAGTTTCATTCTAGCTGGAATGGGATGGGACCTCTCAAGGGGGAAACACATCAAACACACACACAACCACACACGCGCGCGCGCGCGCGCACACACACTTTGCCTGATTGGGTCTGTTGTAGTAGATAAAAACAAAAACGGGTTGGCTTCGTCATGGCATTCGAATGCGGGCCAGGAGAGCATGGTGGCTGGGATTGCTTCTATTCTTTTCACTCACGACTTTTTTTCCTTCTTCTTTTTACCCGCGATACCGGTACATCAGAAATAGGGTGGAGGACTTCTGCGACCAACCCCAAATTATCACTGTTTTTTTGTTGTTGTTCAAACTGCCGAGAGACTTGGAGAAAGGAAGGCGCTTTACAGGATTTTTGGAGGTTTTCTTATTTCCTCGCCTTTTGTTTATCATCATTTTGGGTACCAAACCATTGGGCGGTTTTAGACTTTCTTGGGGAAACGGGGGATGATACACACACATTCTGGGATGGAATTAAAAGAATGTGAATATGGACTTTTTGATGTTTAACCATAGTTAAGCGGGCTGGAGAGGATAAATCTCATCCAGACCTCGCCAGAAACAAACCACAAAATTTGATGTACAGATTTTACACAAACACATGCTTTGGAGAGAGAAAGTGGCCCTATCGACTCGTGATCTTTAACTCCAAGGACTTGGTTGCAACATCATGTGCCCACGATGCTTTCATGAGTTCAGTCGAGCGCGCGTGGGAGACGTGTGGGCAGGAGGGAAGGGGCATGAGATTCGACATAGATGGGGTCGCTAGTTGATTTTGGGTAGTTTCGGGATGGAACTCTGTCGTCTAGAAAGGCAGATGATGACAACATAGGGACCGCCGATCATCAACTCCCTCGAGTCGCGTTTTGCCTGTCACACAACACTACGGGAGTATAGACTATAGTACACCCCCGGCTACCACAATGCCGCAACGAGATGCCGCAGTGAGAAAAGGGACAGAGACTCCGACGAGAGACAGAGAGAGAGAGAGAGAGACTTCGAACCGAGAGAGAGGGTCAACTTCGGTTGCGTGTTTGGGAGTCTGGACTAATCCGAGGAACCGAACCAGAATACCTAATAGTAATACCAAGTATACCAAGACCAAATCTTGGAAAGAACGGCAACAGTCGAAAACTCTATGTTGGCTACCCCTGCTCCTCGCCTGCGGGAGCGTTTTCTGCATGGCTGGGCTGTAGACGAAAGGAGAGAGAGAGAGAGAGGGAGAGATGGGAGATGGGATAGATACCTCAGACAAACCACCCACCACCCATCCATCCAGTGACCACCCCCATTACCCCATTACGCATCATGGCATGGTCATACTACGGAAACTCCGTCCTGCAGCTCCTTCACACAAGTGATGAGACTTGATCCAACCGGAAGGGGGGGGGGGTCAAGGTCTATCTCTTTTTGGCTCATTGAGATGGAGAGAGAGAGAGAGAGAGGGTCTCCAACCTGCAAAGTCCAAGACTTTTCTTTTGCTCCTCGCTATGCAGTATGCAAATGAGCTGTAAAAGACCTTGCAAGAGCTGTCGACAGAAAGTGCCTTTTTTGTTTTTGTCTCCTCAGATGAGCATGGTCCAATCAAGGAAAGCCGTCTTAACCGTTTTACACTTTCTCTGCTTCTGCTTGTCCCTCTCTCTGTCTCTCGCTTTGGTCACTAGGTTGGCTTAATGCTGTCCGATAGGATGCGTTCCATCTCCTCTGACCATACTGAGCCGAGCCGGGCCGGGCGCTGGCTGCTGCTGTGTTGTCTTTCGCCCTGCTGACATCACAAGGACCCATGTTCCCATTGAACTGTTGACAGGGCTTAGCTAGGGGACCGGTAACCGCACCACCAAAGACTTGACCAGGTCAGCTCTCTCTCGGCCGGAGACAAGAAGGAGATCGAGACAGGATGACAAGGTAAAGAAAAAGTCTATGTCCGGATCGCCGCGCCCATCAGACAAGAAAGAGCCCACATTTACCATAGTAGATGGTGGTACCAACGAGTTCCAATTGGCAATAAGAGACAGAGGGGCAGGGAACCGTAGACGGTTAACATGGGGGGTCCCTCAGACAAGGGGAGGCGCCCTTGCCGAATGGATAGACGCACAAACCGCGCGAGTGCCCGCTCTGCCCGTCCTCCTTCTGCAACGCCCTGCTGTAGTGGTGGTTTGTAAATGAAATTCAATCTATCGCTCGAACGCTTCCCACCTCATATTTCTGCCTTCAATCTCTCTGTTGCAAAGAGGCCAATCTCTCTCGTCTCCTGATGTGAGCAGAAAAAGATCCATAGATTCAGAGTAAGGTAGAATCGAGTTGGGCGTATCCACTCACACTCCTACACCGGTGAACTCTGTGTTCAATTTTCCTCGATCCGAGCGGAAACGAGCAAGGCCAAGCCTGAATGGGCGCATCGAAAAACCTGGGAAGAGAAGGTCGCAGTATCGTCAACGTTGCTTGGACCCTCTCCCTCTTCTCTTCATCCGGTATGGTTAGCAGTTCGTGTCTATCGAGGTGACAAGCAACTCGGCCAGTCCCATGCAACACCTTGAAAAGATGATGAGCAGAGACCCCCAATGTACCTGTGAAGAATCGCCAAAAAAAGACAAGAAAAACAAAAAGAAACAACAGAAAGCGGTCGACCTGACGGTCGGTCAATCATTACAGCCCGTCATCCACAAATGCAATCAATACATGATTACTTAGTTCCACCGGGTTCCCGAAGTGAACAGCCGGCCCTGGTCCTTGATCGCTGTTCGTGGCATGTATCAAAAATGATAGAAGCCCAGAGCCTCACAGCTCAACTGTCTCGTCGAGGAAGGGATCTTCTAAGCGCATGCTGCTATCTTAAGCGATGTGATAAATTAGCCGATGGGAGAGGGAAGCGACAGGAATCCCCCCGACTTGGCAAAACCATCACAACGGCCAACCAAACGCACATGCTGTTGATCTGAAAGGTGCGATGGGGACGGACGGGGGTGAAGGGTATCGGCCTGGTCGGCGGGTGTCTGCTACACTAGCAGTATTCTTATTCTAATTTGAGAGCAACATGGGACCATCTAATGATCCAAGGACGGCAGCAGGCCGTGTGTACAATACCAGAGACCTGGGAAGCAGCGATATTGCGCCAGCCGTGTCGTGCCTCGTAGACGCCGATCTGGATATGGACCATCCCACTGACGCCCCATTATCCTCCCTTGCCCCTCTCGACATGTCTTCCTTTCCCCATTCCCGGTGGGGGTGCAAGAAGATGAGAATGAGTGTGTTTTGGGCTCGGGTGTTGAGGGGAGGAATGGCATGGATATGCTGTGACGTGGAGTGGGTTCTCCTGCAAGATGTCACCTCCACTTGGGAGTCTTGGACGAGTTAAGCCTCGCTCTCTCTCTTTCCTGTGCCGCACCCGGGCCCCTCCATATCTCTGGGCGTGCTCCAGTGCTCCAGTGCTCCATTTCGTTGAATACTACGTATGTTGCAACTTGTACAATGTGGGTTGTTCAAGGAGATGGTCGACACGATGCGGAGCCCGAGATAATCAATTCATTCAAGGTGGTACGGGCGACAAATTGACCGCCCTTCCTAGACTCGCTTCGGTCTGAGCCCTGTCAAGAAATGCTCTACGCCTTACCTATCTTCCGAGAGGCTGCTGTGTATGAGCCACAACCACTGCCACCATCTTTGTCTAGCCAGCAATGCATACGACGAACGCGCGTGCGCTCAGGGTCAGCCGCTAGAGCCAGACGCGCATGAACGTTCGTGGGCGACCGGCGGAGGTACGGAGTAATCAACATAGGCACGCCGGAGGAGGGGCGATGGTAGGTAGCGAACGTGGCGGGCCCATAGAGAGAGGAGCCAGACCCAAGTACCAGTTCGTCGGAGGTCTTGAGTCTTGGTTCTGGGTTTCGTAGTGTCCGCTATGCAGAGGTCCGGACTCCGAGAATCAAGACAGAATTGATCGAGGGAGATATTGGCGATGTCTGCGGACTGCAGTCTGCCTCCACAACTTGTTCTGCCTTGGAACGATCGTGTTGCCGTCGCCGTCTTGGCCGATCTTGTCTCACAGCGGGCGCTGACAGATGCAGAATAGCGTCACTTGTAAAGTCGAGATCTGGTGTTCAAGAGGTCTTACATCTCAACTCAACTGGACCTCGTCAACGGGCTAGGCGCATACCACGAACGCTCCAGTAGCTTTCGCTTCGCGCAAGCCGACATGATATTATGGGTCGACGTGTAATACATCTGCCCCCTCTCTCAATCACGTATGCAAGTTGCTGTCTCCGCAAGTGTCGAGATGCATCAGACGATCGAAAACCTGACGACAGGAAGCGCTTTAGAGTTTGGCGCCTTCCAAGGCAAACTCCTGAGAATACGTAAGTGATGTAGACCACCGCGCTAGCGATAGATTAAAAGGCAGTGAACTATCAGCGATCAGAGGAGTCGCGGAGTCGCGGAGTCACTGTGACTGAGTGGCAGGGGATGGGCTGGGAGAGATGGGATACGTACCCAGTCCCAGCCAGGGGCCATCATCCTGAATCGAGGCTTGGCTTGCGGGTTTCGTCCGCTCTGCAGGGTGGTGTCTGGCATTTTGTCGACGAAGACGACCAACTCCAAGTTAGACTGCTCTCAGAAATGGCAAGAAACCAAGTTCTGGGTAAACACTTTGGCGCCAAGCAACTTTGGATGAAAGGCAGTGCGAGCGTGTGTATTCGTACCCTACGTATCCGCAAGCAGACAGTATTGACGCATGCAAAAGCACTCTATCAAGGGCAGTAATGACCCGGCCGGGCCAGGTCCGACAGTACCAGGCTGGCCATGTTCGAACCGGGGATGCACCGATACATCAGAATTCAACGGCATCAGAACGCCCCGTGGGCTCGGGACGAGTGGGCGGCGCTGATGCGGGCGGACCATTCGCCCGCTTGCCAGGTGCTGTGTACATACAAGCAGGACTAGGTTCATTTGGCCGTCTCGTTTGGTTTTTTATTTGACAGCTGGCTGACTTGGGTTATTTTTCTCCTCATCCCGTTCCAGGGCCCCTGAAGGTGACGGGGAAGAGGATATGAGGATATTGCCGGAGGGTTGGTGCGTCGCCCACTCCGTCCCGCAACAGGATATGGATGAAAATGCGACGCTGAAAACCGGGGGAAAGGTTGAGCTGACCCGTCAATAATTGTCCAAGGTTGTCATGGGTCTTACAATGAACCCTTTTGGTGATGGTCGATGCGGCAGGGTGGATTATGGAGTTTCTGTATCTGTATCCGTATTCGTAGTGTAGGCCAGAACGGGGACTAAAGCAAGGTATCCGTAACGGTCAGGTAGGCTGGAAATTCGCAGGGCAGATTGTGTGAGGTGGGTGAAGAAGTAAAGGCGGCCGCACATCTCCAGGTAAGCTTTTCCACTTTGGACCGAAGCTCTGGTGGTCTTTGAATTCTCCCCTGCCTTAGAACCTGCAACCCCCCGACTTGAGGTGAATTCTCGCGGAAACACCTGCCTTAGCTGAGCTTCGACATAAGGTAGTAGCAGTCATCTTTTTGGTCAAAATTTTGACCCTTTGAGGCGTAGCGCTTTCCAGCTATGAACCTAGGGAGAGATGAGCGCCCGAGCGTTAATCAAGGCCATGGGCAACCGCATTACATAGATAGCGAGGGCATCAGAGTTGATGCTATCGTGTCTGCGCCTTACGCCTGCGCCTTCTGGTGTGCTGTGCCCTTCACTTTGGTGGACGATATCTGGGTCGAGGGTTGTCAGGTGGTGACGCGAGGTTAAACCAGCGAGGAATTCATCCAATCCAATCGAGTCCCAGCGCAGCGTTCTTGCTACCCCGCCGGCCGGGGCTGGGGTTCGAGCTGGAGCTGGTGCTGGTGGTAGACACAGCTGTGAGCTGGGAGCTGGGTCGTGAGGGGTTTCCACTAGCCAGTAACTGTGCCCGCTCTCGAGTGTTGCCAGGTCCAGGACTAGGGTTTCGAGAGTCTTGGACGGGGGTTGAAGCACCACCGGAGCCTTTCAGCATCCGGCGTTTTGGCGATGATGTAAAAATCGCCGGATTTCACTGCCCCGAAAAGCAGGGAGCCGAATCCTGGACCGGAAAGTGCCGAGCAACTACCAGTGGTCGAGGATCAGTGTTCCACACACACCGCTCAGCTTTGGGGGGCCCTAGGGGATTGGGTTGAGGGTTCCTCTGTCCTGGTTCTGGTTCGGGTCGGTCTGGGTCTGGCTCATTGTCTGCCCACTCGACCTAGTCGTAAAACCTAACCTACCGGCCGGTTAACTCTCCTTACCCGTACCTTACCGTGCCAAGCACCATCTTTCCGCTTATGGTATAAAATGGCCTTGTCGAGGTTTTTGGAATTGGCATTGAGTTTACCAGGGGCCTCGAGCAGACAGCAGGGTTTCGTGCGCGGTCACAGGCGTCTGTAACGGATTTCGATCCCCCTTGAACGAGGGTAGCGGCCTTGTAAGGCAAAGTACTCTGCAGAGGGCTCCTTTCTGGACGCTAAGCTGCTGTGTATAGCATCTCTAAGACGCCTTGCCCTGGTTCATCGTCGGTCAAGTGCGAAGTTAAGCCGAGCTGGATCGGAGAGGACTGGGGCGGGGGTAATGAAAGATGCTTGCTTGCTGGAGCTGGAAGAGGGCGGTTCAAGGCTGACGGAGTGGGCGAAGATGAGGAGAAGAGGAAGAAGAAGAAGAAGCACGGACTGTAGGCTGTCCCTTGATGCGCCTTATCCGTCTGCTCGATCCTGGTGTTGTGTGTTGGGCTGTGTGAAGCACGGATATGTCCTCCGTGTGGTGCCATGGTGCTCCTTTCTTAGAATGGAGGGAATCGAGTGAAGTGAAGCGGAAAGGCGGAGAATTGCTGCTCACCCTCGCCTTGCACTCAGTTCTATGCATATCGACGGCGAAGAGCAAGATGGAAGATGGCGTATGGATGGTGTATCAAGACGGTATGAAACCAACATTTCTCGAACCTAAGATGCAGTTGAAAGACGCCAGTCATGTGGAATGCCGTACTGAGGAGGTAGGTGTTTCTGTTGTACGTAGTAGTGTAGGTCTCCGTCCCTACTAAGCTATTCTGCGCTCCGTAGCGTAGATGATTTGTGGCGCAGAAATACTTTGACCAAAGTACCTTACGCTAGGTACGTTGGAAACTTAGCAGAAAGCAAGGAAGGCTGTAGCGTGACGGCGGGCTGTTTAGACGCTGCAGAAGCGGTGCAGGACCGATGCAGGAGATTTGTTCTAGCGCCGAAGATGGAATTTTCCAAGAGGTGAGGCGATCCCTCCCGTCCGGTGTTGGTGCTGCCATAGGTGGCAGGCGGGAATGGCAGTGTGTCGGGAGGATGAGGGGGTAAGACCGTACGGTCCCGTGAGAGACAGGGTACGTACTCCATATCATGTCCTCGTTCCCATGCTTTACTGACACCTGATATCCAAGGCACTCAACAGCCTCTAACCTCGACCCCAGGTGAAGTAGGAGCGTGTGTGCACCCTCAGTTGCCTTAGGTAAGGAAAACCACGGACCTCAAGTCCGGCCCCCGGTGCCCCCCGATGACGGGCGGAAAGCACTGGCATTGGCAGGGTGCTTTGACACTTTCCCGCTCGCACCCACCCAGAGACCGAGGGGGACCGCAGAGACCGAGCCTCGAGGGGAGTGGGGGGTCCAGCCAATTCCCGGCGCTGTATCCCATTTCCAGTACGATTGCCCCGAAGAGCCCCAGCCAACCCCGAACATATCTTTAATAACCTGGTCGTCGCTCTTCTCTTTGATCGCGGACTGGGAGCACATCACTGGCTCCTCCGGCGGTAGTTCAAAACAAAAGAAATACAAGCTCAGGGGATGGACAAAACAAAGATAAGCTACATACTTACCTTACCTATCCGCACCACCCAATGTTAGTATGTATGTATCCGTACGTCCTCCGTACGTCCACCTTCAGGGAGGGAAAAGACCCGGCACCTTGCTGGGCCCTCTGCAAATCCCGCCTTCCGTCATCCACACAGATACCTTTCCTCTGGTTCCATCCGCCCACACCTGCTCAACTTCTCCCCTCCCTTGACCGCTCCGATGCCGATCCGGGCCAACATGCCTGTTCCCGGCTTTCACTTCTTCAATGGAAGCCATGAACGGGTCATCCATAGATAAACCTTCAATTGTCAGTAGTCTACGGTATGGCCTAGGCACGGTCCAAAAGAGTCCTACACGGGACATTGGCAAGACGCCAAGTTACATGCTGTCTGGATGACCAGCCTCACAATTGGTTACATGGAGACGAAACGAACCAAGCTATTTGCTATCCACCTGATGTAATCCAGGAACTGGAGAACTGGAGAGTATTCGGTCTGGCGTTACGGATACTTGGCAATCGTAACAAAAGCAAAAAAGACCGGCAAAACGACGCCGTCTAAACAAGCAGTGGTGGGGCTCGGGGGGATTCTGCAACGTGCAACGTCCAACCTCCTCCCACACACAGTCCACCTTCAAATTCTTGTTCTATGGGATGCTCCGGGCCCGTGTCATTGGTTCTCACTTTGCTACCGGTTCAGTCTTGCCTCGTCTAACCCGGACTTATCAGAACCGGAATGTGGCTTCAAGTCTCATTTCTCATACTTCTCAGAGAACAGCAGAGTTGACGGTCTCGCCTGAACTATCCATACCGAGTCTCGGTCAGGCCGTCGTCCAACGATAGGGTTCATTCAAGTTTTTGTTCGGTAGATGGGTTTAGTTTGTGGCAAGACAACACGAAGTGGAGGGCGGGCTTCTTTGGAAGCTTCGAAAGCCCTTGATGGAAGCTTGTCAAAGTTGAGGCTGGAGAGTGTTTGACAAAAGGTGTCAGACCATGGCAATCACATGATATGCAGGTTGCTGACAGGAAGGGGGGGCTGAAATGAGAGCTCACTCGTTCGTCGCTTGGGACAGGATGGCTTCATAACCATGGACGGAAAGGGTCCGAGTCACGACCCAAGTCAATGAAGGACAGACCATTCCAGATGACTTGAGTTTATGGTTTCTCACGCTTTTTAGTCTAGATATGTATGGTTGGTTTACGTATGGGTGACGGGTCTGGTGCGATTATTGCATGTCAATGTTTGGATACCTCAGGTTTTGAAGATGAAAATTGAAGGGTCGACGGCGACTGGCTAGGTTGATTCAAAGTGATGTTCCCTGTCCTTGTAGGTCGTTGGCTCGGCGTGTCAACGAGCCGTTGTCATCCAAACACTCTGCACACTCGGAAACGACCCATTTTGGGCATAGGTGGGAAAGCTGGGAGACACGTGTGACTTCGGGATGCCGAAAGGAAGAGTAGAGTAGAGGGGAGTGAAGAGGGGCCGAAAAGATCGCCATGAGCTACGCAATACTAAGGTGACGTCCGCATGCATAGATAGTCAACGCGGAGCTTCAAGCTGAGCTTCCGGTGTGTACATCCTTCATGTAGAAATACTTGGGTATGGCGATGTACATTGGATGTGATGAGTTTCTTCCAAAGATTGTAGTATTTTTTGGGCATTGTGAGGGCGAGAGTGAATGCAATAGTGGGCAAAACCGCGCTCGAGGTGCCCGGGGTTTTTTTTTTTTTTTTACCCTCTTGAAACAAGGCAGAAAGAAGTTGCCTTACACCAGAGACACCCGTCGAAGCTTTTGTTGCCAGCGGGATGATACTCACTGACAACAATGTATGGTATGCCTGTCGGAGGCCAATTCATCGCTGTTTCCCTCTCTCGTTCCCCCTCTCTTGTCCTTGCCTCTTCTCTGCCTTTCTCCTCTTCTGTACTTCCTTCCATTTCCCGTTACCCCGTATTAACGCACGGAATCACGGATCACGGATCACAGACTTTGAGCAGAAATGGGAGGATACCTTGGAGTATGAGAAGGTGGGAGCATGAACGGGCGCATTGGGCTCAATCCAATCGCCAGGCGCGCATGGCCAAAACGGGGGGGTACGATGTAGTGTAGGCAGTGGGAGGGAAGGAGGAGGGGGGATTGCAGTCTGCTGCAGATGGGAACGCGGAGGGGGGAGGGGCACACGAGCGGGCAAACCGACAGGGGTCTAGGGAAAGACATTGGAAAGTGGAAACCCCATCTTGTGGGTATCCTGCCGTTTTCTGGGAGAGCTTCGAAAAGGGAAAGAAGAGGGATCTCCCCTGTCCCGTAGTCCCTGCACGGTCGATCACCACATGCTGACAGGGATCAGGCAAGGCAGGGTCTTGGCTGACGGTTTCTATCAGCCCGTCCAGTTGACACGCCAGTCCTCATTTGGCTGCATCGAGCAGATGGGTGTGTTTCTAGTGGCCTCGGTGGGACTAAGTACCTTTTTTCGAGGAGTACAAACCTCCAAGCAAGTACTCTGCAGCTCGAGGGTACTTCAGTCGAAAGTGGGGTCATCGAGAGCTGATTGCTGGTGCCAGGCGAAAGCCGGAGTGACCCACCCAACCGCGCTCTATGATCCATGGCAATGAGGTAAGGTAGGTACCTCTCTCACTTCACGCTAAGGAAAAGAGGAGGGTTGAGGATTGAGGATTTGAGGGTTTGATGGACTTTGCCTTTTCACGAGACACGCTCGGTTCTGAGCCATTTGCTAGCAACCTAAACATCCAGTCAGCCCTCTCAGCCGTGCCAAAAAAAATAAAAATAAAAAATAGACAGAAATGCACAATGCGTCTGCAGACACTCATGCAGCCATGGATTCGTTGAACATTGTACGAAGTGCCGTGGCCAGGCCTGGACTGTCTATCCAAGCTGAACGACTGACTGATTGACTTCTTGACTGACTTCACCCCGCAGCGCAGCGCAGCATCACATCGTACCTAGATGAGTAAGTAGCCAAGTACTTTCCAGATACTCAACCACGGTATAATCTACAGCCTGTATCTGTATTACTTGCGGGAAATGACATTGCTGATGCAAATGCAAGTGCATTCCGTCTTGATTGGGCTTCCTTGGCATGGCATGGCATACAAAGTGGATTGCGCCATTACTCTCATTGGAGAGCCTCTTTCTGAAATAGCAGATACCTATGGAGTGCAGGGAAGTGGCATCAAACCCAACCTTCAATTCAGTTACGGATACCTGTACTGCAGAGGTCCTTGACTTTTAAGGTACAGCTTGCTGCTCATGTGTACAAAGTAGTGCGCTTTCGTAATCTGGAACCGTGCCCATTGCTGTCACTGCTGTTCGATACGTTTTCAACGCTTTACCCCGGTCTCAAAAACATCCAGAGTGCGGTATTTTTTTTCGTTGCGACTTTTCGAGTCTATCAGACAGCGATGCGATGCGAGGACCTGTTTGGCACGCCCTCTTTTTGCTTGAAAATACCGCCATCTCGCCTCAGGTTTCGACACGCAGCATACTTCTTCAACATCGATTCGTCAAACTGACCCCGGTACGAGGCGCCCCTCTTTCAAAGTAGCTCATCTCTCATTACCAAACATGAGATTCCCAGAAAAGTAAATGCCCACCATCTCACCTCCCACCGTCGTGCAGGTGGGGAGAAGAATCTCCCTTATCCATCCCATATGCCCTTGCCGCAATATGGATACCTTCTTTACAATTTGTCTGTGTGTCAAAGAGGAGAAGCCATGCCATCATCTCATTCTCGCAAAGCAAACAAACTGGGGGTCCCGGGTGTACGTATGCAACACATGTTACCTGCCCAACCATGGTCATTCACCGGATCGCTCCTGCTAATATGCTGCTCATCTCATCGCCGTGATCCAGACCAGGGAGGAGGTAATTTGTAGATACACTGCAGAGACGCACATTGATAGGTACTTGCTTCTCTCCCATGAATACTGGAGGCTTCCACTCTCTATCCATAATACTACTACGAATACTTGGCAAGCATGGGAAGGTCCAACTCTAGCCCACATGTTCCGCTTGAACCCGGCTCTCCCCAGTTTCCCATCTGAACGGAGCTGGGAAGAGGCCGGCTCCAGCTTCCCCTTGCTCTTTTCTTCTCTGTCTGCCCGGTCACCTTCCGGTCGCCAAACTGCAGTGTCTTTCATACTAACGCAACGCAGTATCCTCAATGGTCAGATTTGGTATTCACTTCGCACTCTCAAAGGTGCTCTTTACATGTTAAATGATTACTAGGTGCTATCCCACGCGGTCTGGTTTGAGGTTGTATCGGATAAGAAGACGGATGTTGCTGCCATGCTCGCCCGCAAATGCGCTACGCCCTGCCCTACGGATTTCCATCCACGGTCATGCCTGTCCTGCATTGCCATTCTTCAATACCCCCGCCTTGCCTCTTTACGGTTTACCGGCACTGCCTTGCTCCCGATCCTTTGCCTGCCCGTAACCCTGGGACAAGTCTTCATTTCTCCGCCTTCTTCAGCAATCTTCCGGCTTGGATACTCCCTGCGCGAGAGCTCCCAAATCAGCTCACATTACCTCATGTCAACTCACTTTTGTGCAATCACTTGGCCAGTCAGCTCAAGGCAGAGCCTCCGCTGCGACTCCCGAGTTTCCAGGGACGGAAGCTTCGCCTTCCACCTGATGCGAACCCGGGTCATTCCTCGCTGCGATTCTCCCGCCTTTCCCGTCCCGTGTTGTGCACCAAGTACTCCGGTTACGCCCCAGTCCAGCCCACACGGGGAGAGAGGTTGACTTGTCTTGGCATCCGTCCCAATTACACCATCGCTACATCTCTGCTCAAAGTTTAAATAAAGAAAAGAAGAAGAAAAGGGGAACAAACGTCAAAGCATCAACCTTTTCATAAGTCTATGCCAGGGCAACTCAGGTAGTCCCTTGAATACTACGTCGTTGAGCACTATACCCATCACTTAGTAGCGGACCCCAGGGGCTCAAGGGTCAAAGGACATACTCGTACGTGATATGCCAAGGCCAATCGCAACTTCCCATCGGTCGTGCTCGGGATCTGTTTTCCCTCCGACCCTGGCTGGGGTCACGGCCACGGCCACGGCTACGGTCACTCTACGGTCACGGTCACGGTGCTAACACTGCTGCGGCCGTGTTATCGGACGGGCGGCGTGGGCGTTCAGCGGTGGAGACTGAGGTGCGTATGGGCGTGAACGGGGAACGTTTCGTCGGAGCGCCTCATCCTATCACCGTTTGATCTCTTGCCGGCCGCCTCGCCGGATCCCTACCCAGCCACCGTCAACACGTGCTACAGCCTACCAACGCCTAATTGTTCGTAACTTCGTGCTCTTTCTTCTGCCGGGTCTTGCCTGCCTTAGCTACTAGGCAGGCACGATACCCTAAGGTGCGGTTACATAGTAGTTGCGTTACCTTACAAGTACGCAGTCAGAGTACGAAGTAAGGTACCTTACCTCGCTCGACCAGCTTTACCTAATACGGACCGTTTTAGCGTTGACTATCCAGGTCCCCCCCACTCATTGCCCGACCCCTCCATCGCTTCCCATCCTTCCCTCCGTGCCTTCCCATCGTCGCGCTCCCAGGGGACCGCGCCTGAGCTATTCGTATGAATGCTCCATGCCCGTAGGTAGTACGTACGGAGTACATCTCCTAGGCATGTAGAGAAGTGAGGTGCTCACCTTGCCGCGCTTCCCCTTGCCCTGCCCCGCTCCTTCACCTCACCTCTCCTCACCTTGAGGTATTCCGTTCCGCACCCAACGCTCACCTTCCTTTCACTCCAAACCGTTCGCCCGACTTCTTCCCTCCATTCTAGCGCCATCTCCGGCTCTGTTCTACGGTTCTGCTACGGAAGCAGCCAGCCAACCAACCATCCGTTCACCGTGCTCAACAAATCCGCCCCTTACCACTACTAGCACCACTACTAGCACCACCACCATCACCACAGACACTCACCCCAAGAAGGAAAAGAATCGCAAAGAGATGCCGTCTACAGTCAAGAAAGCCCCCGAAACTTGCCCGTCCCAGCCGCACGGTCCTCGACCCCGAATCGAATTGGACCCTTTCTGGAAGCTTAACCAAAGCGCCATCTGCCAATCGAAATCATCAACGACGACCGCAGCGGTCATGCTTCATACTTAATCTCGCAAGCAGCCCGTGAGACGCCATGCTCCTCTCCCCCCTTGGTCGTTTCTCCGGTGCTTCACAAGACCATTCTGCTCTGTACCCCCGCTGGTCAGAGCGCAATGGCAGTCTACAGAAGTCCCCTCGCGACCATCCATCCGTCCCAACACGGGTCCATGGCTGAGGCCTGAAATGGTCAACCCATGGTCATCTTCATGCGGTTTGGAGCCTTCGCTGCAGTCCACGTGCTGGCTTGGCAATAGACAAGGTGTGATGGCTGTGTTGCAGCACTACTTGATGCCCGACTACACTTGCTATACAGTAGTACGTGCCAGCATCGTCAATGCAGCATCACGATACAACGACGGAACCGTAGGCACTGGTATCCGTCCGTACTCCGACCAGATTCCTTCTAACCGCCGCTCTCACTTTCTACAAGCCCAAGATATCACCGAGAAATCTTGGATGGCATCGGTGTGTGCGCCCGTATTCGATTGCTTGGTTCATGCGCGCAACACCACTCCCACATGTTATGGTGTGTACACAAACACACACATATGCATACGGATATACACACACGCTCACCCACTCACACATAGCGAAGCAGGAAAGGCACAAGAGAGGTCGAATGTCCCCTCCCTGCGAGTCAGCCCCGTGCAGAATCTGATGCATGGAAACATCTGAGACAGGCGGCTCGGGTTCGTGTGATGGCATCAAATGTATAGCTTTTTTTTTCTTGACAGATAGCGCTGCCCGTGACACGTGGCTGCAATGCACGTCTCATGTCATGGGGAAAAGGCTATCTGGAGCCCTACCACGCTGCCACGCGTTATGATCTCGACCCTTCGCACGCCTCGCCTGCTTTCGTGCAGAAGGCTAATACTGGCAAAATGAACAAGGAGGGTATCTAACGAGCCGTTATAGCCCCCTTACCCCCCCCCCCCCCTTTCCGCGGCCATACTAAGTTGCTTGAGTTTGGTTCGTGTTTTGGCGGCTCGTTTCTTCGGGCAGGCAACGTTGATCGCCTCGAGGGCTTTCGTCGTGGCCGTGGTCAGTGCTACCTCATGCACATGGCAAGCCGCAAGCCGCACGATGCACGTTGTACACCGCTTCCAAAGTTCAGCAACAGAGTTGTTCTGGAAAGGCGAGACGAAGCAGGTCTCTGCTTGATTCATGAACCAGCGCAAGTTAATGTCACGCTGCAAGTACTAAAAGTGTAGGTACAGTCGGCTACAGCCACTCAGCTGCTATGTTCAGCCAACACCCATCCCGCCGCCGCCGCCATCCAACGCCATCACCACGTACCATTATCGTCATCAAAGTTACCTTTCGCCATGGCATCTTTGCCATGTGCTTGTGCAGCACAACCCATCCGACGCCACGGAGATGGTGTGCAGAGATGGGAGGGAAACGTGGCAACCCTAAGGCTTCCCCTCCGCTCCGTGGCGCTTGGAACTGCTGTTGCGGGCATTCGATGCGACGTGGCGTCGTGTTTCCATTCTTGTGCATCCGAAGAAGAGAGGAAAATGAGACTGTGAGACTGTAGGTGTGATGTGGGTGGCTGTGGAAGCACCTATGGAAGCATTTTGGAAGCTTCGAAGAAGGCGAAGAAGGAATTTACACTTTTACGCCGTTGCTCCAAGTTCGAGGTCTGTTCGTCTTTCGCGAACCAAAACTCACGAAAGTTCTCACCCCCACCGGGAATTCAGAGACAAGTCCCAGCCCAGCCCGGCCCAAGGCAAGGCAAGACCCGTGTGTCACGACATAGGGGAAAAGGAATGATGTGCCTTGGTGTGCTTGGCTACCGGTACCTGCGATGTGTGATACACCGCTCTCTCCTGGACGCCCGCGGACCCTTCTTGTTTCCCGATGGCGGACACGAGCAAGATGGATGGGGGGGAACCTAAGGGTACTGGTATGCCACGCCCATATGGATTCCAAACCACCCTAAAGTACGGATAGTCTACCTACTCTACTACTCACAAGCTTGCATCCCGTCTCAACGCCCGGCCGTCGCCCGCGTCCCCGATGGCGATGGCGATGTGTCCGTACGGGGAGTGGATATACGGCAGCGGCTAGTGCTGCGCCGGTTCCCTTGTCTGCTGCTACGCAATCCTGCGGCCCCCCATTAGAAGAACCACAGCACTCGGCCGGGTGGATTGTTGGATCGAGATGGCGTCCTGTAAGCTGTAGGACGTGCCTAACTCTGTCTGGCTTAGTCTAGCTTCCACACACCCTTCTAGAAGGACTTTCAGAAAAAGAAGGGACAAAGAAAAAGTAAAAAAAATCAAAAAATAAAATAAAATCGGAAAGCCGTGCGAAGGTATCGGTACATTGCCAGGCTCTCTAAATTTTGCCCATGATGCCCTGCGTGTGGCATATTGCGCATATGCGTATGCGTACGGAAAGTGTGGGAGACTAGACTTGAGACTTGGAAGAAGCGGAAAACAGAAAAACAACGCCATATGCAATCGCTTCCAACTAATTGGTCAATTGGCAACTTACCGTCTCTCTTCTACGTATCACTTCTAAAACTTTCCCGGCTTGCGGTTCCGCACTCTCATCCCCCCCTGCCTCCCAATCCCATCAATGATCTGGTAGGTATGCCATCCTTTCCATCCCATCCCCTCTCCTCCCCCCTCCCTCCTCTGATGAGAGCGTACGTAGTTACTCCGTAGTGTAAGCGGGCTTGCAGTTGCAGACACCGGGGGATTCAAGTCACCGCCGCTCTTGCCGCACCGTACTTTTCGGCGGTCGGGAAACGACGCCCACCCACAAAGCCCCCAACACGAACAGGCTTACAAGTTACAGCCCACACCGCTCGGCATTCTCCCCTTCCGGTTCGTAGCTGCGTTCACTTCGGGCATCTGCCCGGGCCAGCATTTACCCACTCGCAACATCAACGAAAGGTCCCGTCTCCCCGCCCCCTGGGCCATCCTTTGAACGTATTGGCGCCATCTTCGTAGCATACATCGTTGGTCATGGAAAAAGAAGGATTGGAAATCCGATACTAGCTAAAACGGCTCTATGCCGAATGGGCATGTTGTGGCCGGAATAGTTAGCACAGCAATGGCATGGCGTCTTGTTCGCGTTGAAGATGAATGGGGCCGCCGTTGCTGTTTTCTCGTTCCGCCGGGCGTGATAGTAGTACAGCGGAATAGAAAGACACACGCCCCTTGTCGGAGCGTCCGATTTCCTTTCTTTTCCCTTGATGAACTAGGTCCGCATCGGACTTGTGCTCCGATCCTCCCCCAACGGTGCCCCGCGCGGCGATGGGAAGGGGGATGATGGTATCGTTTCCCGGGGGTCCTGGGGAGGGGCTGGGCGGAGTGCGATGGGCTTGAAACCTGTTTTTTTCGTATCCTTGGGCTAGTGATGATGTTCAACAAAGAACAAAATCGTATGATCAGGCTACGGGGTTGCTGTCTGCAATCTGTAGATATCCCCTACCCTGACAGACCAGGGCTGCGAAAATCGCGATCGAGTGCAGCCTCATCGTGATGTAGAGCCTGGTTGTCGACCATGATGCGTTCCTAATTCGCGATATTTTGTGCCTTGATGTAGAAAGGGGAGGAAACGACATGAAAGGGCAGACTGCAGGAGAGTGCTTCTGTTTGACTGTTTGCGCCATCAAAGGTCCATACATCATTCTCCATGGAGCATCGTCAATGAGCCTCTCCATATGTACAGTCTTACGATAAACTGAGTCTACCCTGTCCAAGAAAGCAGACGGGAATCGTTGCGCGTCGGGCAATCCTACTTCTTGTGATACTTCTCACTGCCTTGGCTGACACAATGTATATGAACCTCCTTTCATGAACTGTCGTCAAATGATATTCAAGACTACATGAATGTGTTTCCGAGAACTTGTGGCCTGCAGAGTATGCAGTCATCTCGTTGGTGGCGCACTGCGTCCAGGCAATACGATGCTAATTGAGCATGGGGTTGGTTGACTGTACCCCCTTTCAACCCCCCCCCCCCTGTGGTGTATCGTGACCTCCCCAGAGACGAAGATCAAGCTAATCAGCCAGCCTCTCCGACGCAGCTAGGGGGAGAGAGGTCGGTATAGGATTCAGCTGACTGCCTCTGATCCCCTGAAGGAGCTTCACAAGAGGTGGTTTGTGGCTGGTAGAGCATGCCCGCCGTCAGCAAGGCAATCTCCTCTCATGTGAGTGTTGCCCAGGGGTAGCTAGGAGCTTCGAGATGCTTAACTTTGGTGCTTGGGGGTGTGATTCTACTTCTAGGGGTGAATTGTCTAGTACTGTCTCGAGAGAATCATCGCGTGGACCAATCTGGCAGTGCCCGTGATGTCGGCTGTCAAGGTAATCGACTCTCTGTAGTGACCGTAAGACGGTCGTACTGTGTTCGCGATAGTGATCTATCTGGATGGTCTCTTGAAACTCGTAACATAGCCTGAACATTGTCTTTCCCTTTGGGTTGAACTACGTCCTCTCTCTGAGAAACGTATCGTAGATGGGGTTTGACTCTCTGTAGGCATTAAGATACATGCACACTTGGCATTGATAAAGTGGTTCTTCGTCCTCCCGAGCGACAGGAACCCCCCATATCCAATGGCCCATCATCTCTTCACTTCTGAAGCTTGAGACCTCGGTCACGATCTTAGGTCGGATTGTGAGGGGGGCCAGGGCAGTTGCTATGCAGCGAGTTTGGCATACATTCGGGAAAGAGCTCACGCCATGAGATACTTCATATCACCAACAAGGAGACAGACAGACGGGATCTTCTGGATGATTGCTGTCAACGGGCAAAGGTATCGACATAGACCAGCCAACCGCAGTTCTGGCCCACTTGCTTGGTAGAGGTAGAATTTGTACAATGTGAGATGGAGACCACTTTCGGGAACCCAGGCTGACGTCCGTACTATCGGTACCGTCCATGTCTCTCCAATGTCTCGCGAGCTACAGGCAGGAACCGCAGATGGTTGTCGCATGCCTAAAGTATGTGTGTAGTAGATGAACATGCATGGATCGCCCTCACATGTATGTCCCGACGATGCGGGAGGTATGCCTCGAAACCAATAGTGATCATCAGGAACCATCACGAAAGCAGGGAGAGATCGATGGAGCATGTGAGTTGTGGTGGTTGTCTCAAGTATCGGGACATTCTTTTTACGCAACGTGGTGGTCTGGCCTATATCCGTAAACCCGTCACACCATACAGCGGCAGAGGAGATCTCCATCCCTCCCCGCCTTACGGGTACAAACGAGTCGATCATTCACCAGGGGGAGTGAATCTGGGAATAGTATCCGTACACTCCTTGCCCTGGGTCTCGACAAATGAGCAACCGACAAGATGTCACGGCTGCCGAGAAGACCCCATCTCGCGAGCATGTGGTCCGTTCCCACACTCCCGCCTTCAGTGGTGGATCTTGATGAGGAAACATGATTGTGGACGTGGATATTTCCAAAAGGAACGAATCAGCCACCGTGGTGGATTGTCTTACGCGAGTTTGTGGTGTATTCGGACCACCCCGCCTCGGGAACCAAGCCGGATGAGCGGGTGACTGCATGGCCTCGCGCTGCTGTCTCGGCAAGAGAGAGAGACCCCTACATGGGTGCCAACACAGTCCCTATCCTTCTCAGAGTCTTGTTAGTGTGACTTAGCTATACCATGTAGAGAACGAACTGAAAGAGGTGGCTGAAAAGAGTAGTGATAGCGAAAGTGGGAGAAATAGTGACAAAGGTAGCGGTAGAAACAGAAACTCAGGATGTGCTGAGCGGCAGATCATTGTCGCCCACTTGTCAGACTCGGGAAAGAGGCGAATGGTCATTGGATCCTTGTTTTTGGCTACTTATTTCAAGTTATGCCCAGTTTACAGCCGCTCACAGAGATGGAGATGATGGATACTCGGGAAAGATTCGGCATTGTGGTATGGAGATATAGCGGAGCTTGCCGATGAAGATAGACATCTGGGGAAGCTGGGGGAAATGATCACCCGCTTGATGATCATCAGGGCAGGGCCGTAGCGCCAGTGCAGCTTGATCGGATGTGGTGGCTCGGCCCGTTGATATGACCTCTAAACCACGGCATGACTCCGTGGACCGGCTCTCCGGGGTATATCAGTAATGGAGTCCCATCCCGACGATGCAGCACAGACGTCCGGGCCGTATTCTCATCGGATTCAGGCAAATGCGGGGCATGCTGTCGACTCAGCAATCCCGTGGTTCCCCTAGCTCGGCTGTCACGCGCGGGAACACGGCAGCTCGGAGGCGAGAAAGAAAGAGATGACAAATGTGATTTCTTTTGCAGGTACGTGCAGCTCCAGGGAGTCATTCAGGTCTAGTAAGGGTAGAGACAGCCCGAATATTCTGTCTCCATTGCTGAGAAGACGGCATACACCATCCTCCTACTGTGCCCTGAGTCCCACGATCATCAGCCTCCATCTCACAAGCAGTTACCCAGTTACCCGATGACGGGACTGTGGCACTAATATGAAACCTACAGATGAGGCCTTGCGAGCTTGCGTTCACCTAAATGCGGCATATCTGCGGCTCGGGGAGTATCGGCATCGTGTCATGGCTGGTTGGGTCCGCTTCCCTTAGCCGGGTCCGATTCGATGCATCGTTTTCACAGGAGAAGTTGTCACTGTCTGTAATACGAAGTTTGCACTGTTCAGCGACACGGCAGAAGCCCGCGATAATATCGCCAAAAGGCCGGGTAGTCTCCGGCAAAACTGAGACACCCGCACGCCGTCTCCGCGCCAAAGTTGTCTGACGGGATTTCGGGACGATGTTCAGCTTCGCCTCCAATGCCAATGAGCCAATCCAGAGCTTTTGGGTGGGCACTCAACTGGAGAAATGACGCTAAAAGGGGGAAGCCACCCGAGCTTCTCCCGGTGAATGAGGGGCAACAAGCTCCCACAACGTGATAACGTGGGGTAGAAATGCGCTACCGACCAGACGGGCGGTCGCCATTGACGCACCTGACCGCGTCTTTCAAGGTCTTGGGGTTTCTAACATCTCTGGGCATCCGTTCCTTCGTTCTGTGTATTGGTAATTGGGAGGAACAGCTCTCCACCTTTCTTTCTCCCCGGCTGAACTGCATGGAGGGGCGCATAGCAGCATGACGGGAGAGACAGAGAAACAGCCGCTGCTAACCTGGTTGCTAACGGATACTGCATGCAAACATGGCCTTCTGATTGCTTGCTTGCTTGCCGTTCCCCCCGCCGCCTTCCCGGCATCGGTGTATCTTCCTCCATCTACCTAGCTCGTCACCCAGAAACACGCGGGACCTCAAAGTGGGTTGCTGGTCTCTCTTCCCGAGCTAAGGTATCTTTAAGCCAAGTAAGAAGAGGGAATCCTGTCCCGCATCGTCCGGAGTTGTTCCGTTGTCCACAAGCTCGTCAATCTTCTATTTAACAGCGCGATCCTGCTGCGAAGATGTTCCGGTCCTCCCTCTCGATCTTGCTTCCCGGCGCTTTCTATCACCAACCTTTCTTGTCTGTTCCTCTTTACTCCCTTTACTTCCTCTCCAAGTTTGAAACCGGCCAGTCGTAGAATTGTAGTTGTTCCAAAGATACCCCTATCCATTCTTACAGTCCAACGTTTGACGAGCCCACAATGGCCGACTTTGACGTCGAAGACGTGCTCAAGAAGCTCACCGTCTCTGAGAAGGTCGACCTTCTCGCCGGTAAGACTGCTCCCGTCTCTTTTGGGGGGTCACTTTTCACCCCAATTGCGGACTCTTCATTACAGCCCTCGACGAGACCTAATGACAAGCTAACATTCGATTCTCCCCAGGTATCGACTTCTGGCACACCAAGGCTCTGCCCAAGCACAACATTCCCTCCATCAGACTCTCCGACGGACCCAATGGCGTGCGCGGCACCAAATTCTTCAATGGCATCAAGGCAGCTTGCTTCCCCTGCGGAACGGCTCTCGGTGCCACCTTCAACATCGAGCTCCTCGAGGAGGCCGGCAGGAAGATGGGAGAGGAGGCCAAGCTCAAGGGGGCTCACTGCATTCTAGGCCCTACCATCAACATGCAGCGGTCCCCTCTCGGTGGCCGAGGATTCGAGTCTATCGGCGAAGACCCTGTGTTGGCTGGTCTCGGCTCCGCCGCCATTGTGAGAGGTATCGAGAGCACTGGTATCCAGGCGACGCCCAAGCACTTTGTGTGTAACGACCAGGAGCACAGGCGCAACGCCGTCCAGAGCATCGTGACGGAGCGCGCCCTTCGCGAGATCTACGCGCTTCCTTTCCAGCTTACCTTCCGTGACGCCTCACCGGGTGCGCTCATGACTGCCTACAATGGAGTCAACGGCACATTCTGCAGTGAGAACCACGATCTGCTAGAGAAGCTAGTCCGCAAGGAGTGGGGCTGGGACGGCATGATCATGAGCGATTGGTACGGAACCTACAGCACCACGGAAGCGGCTAATGCCGGTCTCGATCTCGAGATGCCTGGACCTCCTCGCTTCCGTGGAGAGCCTCTTAAGTTCAATGTGTCGACGGATAAGGTCCGCCAGCACATTCTCGACGAGAGAGCTCGCGCCATGCTCAAG